AAAGCGGTTTTTCCCACGACTTTTCGTTGGCTGATATTTGTAATTTGGGTAAAGACCCGCGTGGATTTCTTTTGCCTTGTCGGCCAACATGTGAAAAAACTCTTTTTCGACTTCGGATGCGTTATCCCATCGAAATTTAGCCAGGGTGCTTGTTTCGTTAAAATTAATATAGTGCGGTGTCCTTTTCATTAACGCATTAAAATTTCGTCTGTATAGGACGAATGGACCTTGTGGACGTGGAGGGTTTGCCCGGTCGGGTTTACGATCGCTAGGATTTAACAATTCTTCGAGTTCCATTCCTAATGGGGTGGGAGGATTTTTCATCCAATTGGCATGTCGAGTTTTTTTGAAAGGATCTTGATCGAATTTTATTTCTATGAAATTTTCCATGTTGTTTTCTGAGACTTATGCACCGTGCAAGAGAGGGTGAGGTTTTTATAGAATTGGAAATCCGCAGGATTTCTGGATCGACGATAATAATTATTATCCGTTTTAAACATTACAGTGCGAGAAAATGTAATATGACGCACTGAATTCTATATTGTTGAAATTTAGCAATTTTACACTGTGTGTGTTCAATTGGTATGTTAATCCCATGCGCAGTAATGCTATTATTACCATCGGATCGACAGCCGTATAAAATGTGTTCGGTTATGTGTAGCCGACAATCATTATGTATCGATTAAGGAATGGATCTGATAGGACTGTTCTTAACATATAAACACAACTATCATCTACTCGGGAAAGCGTCTCAACCTATTTAACGTTCTATAGAAGAACTTTCATTCAAGTTGTTTTGTACCGTCATTATTCTTGTAAAACATATCATCATCGTAAATTAAAATCACTATATTCCAATTTTAGACAATAGTGATGTTTCACATGGCGCAAAGCTGATCTGGAAATTTTGGGCAACCATACAAAGTACGCATACTCGAAAACAGAATTGAATGGAGATGCAGCCAATCTAGGCTAATAAACCGCCGTTACGTTTATATTGTACGATGGCGCCGATAACTTGAACCGGGTTCTGCGTAAAAGGTGATATATTCGAGGGAAGACATGCATGAAAGGGGTCATTTGCGATCATCAGGGACCAAGTCTGTAACAAAACAGGCTGAAAAAAAAATCCTATAAATATACATGACTATTGTATTGACGTAAATGTGAGCATAATGGATTGGGAGTGTTACATTATTGTTGGCTGATAGTATATTTTTTAATAAGATCTTCAAACGTGCGGGGATAAGCACGCATTCGTTTAACAAGTTTTTTTTTTTTCACGTTTCGGTCAAATCCATTATTGGCCGGATAACGTACACCGTCTAGAGTTTTTGCAATAATAGAATGTATTGTCTGTAGTGATACGTATCATTCGAAACGAGGTTCCATATCCATATTCTTTATTCTAATTATAGATGGGTAACCGTTTGAATACAGGAATAATGGTTGAGTACAGTGCCAATGACAATGCCACACGCCATATCCGCATGCAACCACCGACTAATCAAATAAATGCCTCATTTCGTAGTACATAATACTTTATACTTATGCTAACCATTTTCTGGTAATCATTGTCAACACAAGTCAACGAGTTTCGTCAATAAAATTTTGCACAAGGCGCAGACGTTTGCATTGCATGGCTATTACTTTCAAGTTTGTCAAATTGTTGGCTTGCATTTATGAAACGAAACTCATAATGGCCTGACTTTGGAAATTGACAAAATTTGTAAGACGGCTCGAGTTAGCAATTAAAAGAAATTTTAATCTACAACGCGACAATAGAAATTCGGAAAACATTTCTACTTACGAAAAATAATTCGATAACGCAGTGTAAACCGAACATAGTCTTTACTAAATTTTCGGTATGGCATCGCATAAAGTCTTTCGAGGAGTTCCAAATTGACAATAACCATATATCATTCTACTGTTATACGGTGAAAATGGTTCGCGTCAATAAATAGTATTGATTAGTGTTAAATAAAGCTTTATCTTTAACCACACACACCTCTTGCCAAACATAAGTACGTGGTATTATTGACTAAGCTACAATCCAACTAGTTTCAGATTGAAAATTACTAATTTATATTAAGACGCACTCATTGGTGTATGTGGAATTAAGGTCTATACCGCATATGCAGTACGGTCACTGGAATGTATGCCATCAGGTTCTTTATCATTTCTCTCCATAAATGTTCCGTTGGGTCGAGGTTTTGGACTATTGGACGGCCAGTCAATGGCCTCAGGCAAAGCGACCTGATTAATGCGCCTCATTCGAGTAAGGTTCGGTGTATATACTTTTCCCCAAACTGTATCTGTATATGTCACAATGTGACCTTTATTTCGCAAATGTCTCAAAAATATATATACTAATACAACTGCTATTTGCTATGGATTGCGATGCGGATAAGTAGACTGCTCGTATATCAAAAGTTTTATTTGAACACATTTATAAATTTATTGACCATTCGCTCGATCCTCTCTCGTCCAAATCGACGCATAACTGAACCACGTCTTGCGTACTATTCAGTACATTAGATAGCATCGGTCATCGTGTACGGTTGTCAGATAGTCGTCAGAAATTGAAATCTATCCCTTTACAAGACGTTACCTGCTCTTGAGCACTACGATATACGGCTGTCATTTGATTTAATTCTGAGACAAAAGTTAAATAAAAATATTGCTGTTGAAAAGAAATAAAAAGACAGTTGCAAAAAAAAAAAGAGTCTTGATAATGAGGCAACGTTGTTAAAAAGTTCCTTGTTACAATTACGTATCGTTAACGCCTTCGTTTAGAAGTCACGGGATGACTAATGAGTGCCTCGCTACTGATGAATTTGAAATATTAGAATTATTGTTATACTGGTCACCATTGAACACATTCCTTCGTTTTCGAATACTTACGTTACGCATCGATATCCGAAATACCCAGATAAAAGCACAGCAGCCATGTTCTGTATTCCGGGATGCCCATTCATCAATTTCGTCGTCAACACCAACATTGCAATAGCTGCATATTTGTCCAAATTTCTTTTGTTGCTGATGTCTCCAATGACGAGAATGAGAGTGTTCAAAGTGAGAATGAGAGCATTATGCAACACTCGCAGAGTAGAATCCATGTTGTTGAGTAAAATGAAGATTGTCAGAAGCTAGCAGAGCGTATTAGTATGCTTTTTGTATACCGGGGAGGTTCCAATCGATCTAATCGAGTATAGTTAAACGATCATTCTTGATATGAATCAAGTATGACGTTAAGAGTGAATGCGTGGGATAGGGCGTTCCAAGCCCTCGTCTATTTACTTAAGAAACACATGGGCGAATGAAAAAGAACAATGTGTTTCTTGTCAGATTGAACGTTTCCGAAAATGTTATGACGTCAATGCTGATAATATGTCGGAGTTGGAACCACCGAACATCACATATCGTATAATACACTTCATTTTAATCATTCAATCATCACACTTATTTATGGTGCATGTATTCTCTCAAAACGGCAAGATCGTCTAGTGAAAAAAATTTTTTTTTTTCGGTTGGGCAAATCCCTCGTTTGTTGGCATTACATAATACAGTAATAATAATATTATTATTAACGGTTGTTTTCCCAAAGTACGAACCGAAGAGAGCATTAATTCGGAATGTCATAGCTAGTCAAATATAGTCATCCGTCCATTTATTTATTGTTGCCAAGTTTTATTATTATAAATTATTATTATAAATGAGCTAATGACAATAAGAGATCGGCGTTTCTATAACGAAATAATAATGGAATGTTTCCCGCAGTAAACATTATTTATCGAATCGAGGTTATGCTTATGCATGTCAAGTGACCTTTCCCCCGTTTTGATTATGATATGGGGCAGACTGCAACAAAACCAGACAAAGTGAACATTCTGTTATGTGACATAAATGAGAGGCTGATTGTGATATGACTGTAAAATTGACCAGTGTGACTGATGACATTTTGAAACATAATAATGGTTCATTCATAACTTATGGACTTGTTAATTTTAATGCTCACTTTATTATACCAGAATGGGATGAATATAAATTATAACAGGATTAATATAGACTTATCCCTATATAAAATTATTAATATGAAACTAATTTACATTAAATCAACCATGGAACCCAAGAATTATAGCACCGTTAGAAGTATTTTAAAAAAAGAACAAGGAGAAAAAATTGCTCCCTATGTTTTTAAAATGAATGACACCAAAATTCTCGAGGAATATCTAGATCAAGAAAAAATTACTTATGAAATTTATCAAGAAGAATGAAAAATAATAAACCATAAACGAACCTTTAACCCCAACTTATGATAAACCAAGAAAGAAATAAAAGATAAAAGTATAAAGAAAGCAAATTTAACATAAAAGTTGCCACCCTACCAAAGCCTTCACTGATCAAGTGACCTATCAAAGAAAGATTGTTTCTTATAGTTTTGACTTGTTGGTAAAGGATTACTTGAGCACTTTTGTCGAGCCTTGATTTGCATTTCACCACTTTGATACAACTGTAACCAAAAACCAAAAGACTGCGTCACAGAATTTTTCCATTCCTACGTGTATTTTTATTTCAAAGCCATATACTCAGCACCTATAGTATGTCTCATATTTTATTCATTACAACAGCAATTTCTGCATAAACGTGTATTTATTCTGATATACAAAACTCTTTCTCGCTCAATGACACAGTAAAAACTCATTACAGTCATACCTCGTTTATATCCCCACTTCGGGACGAGGAGTTTTTGGGGATATAAAAGAGGTGAAATATAAACGAGGTATTCATTTAAATATGCAATTTTAAATTCAGTTAATGAAGTTTGGCGTTTAGCCTTTTCTACAGACTCATCTAAATGTCGAATTATATTACATATATACTTTACATCATTTTCTGTTGTAAATCTCTTTGTTCTAAGAACCTTTTAACTATATCAAGTGCCTGTCTCCCGTCCGCATTGAAATAATCGTTTCCTCCTCGTCGCTTGAGTCTTCTTCAACGTGTTGCTGCAGAACGCCTTCAGCTATCAGAAATTCCTCGAATATACAGTATCTTCTTCTGTAGGTAACTCAGTACTAACCAAGTCATTATCCACTGCAAAGTATCCATTCGCTGTTATATTTACCGAGGGATCTGCAAGCTTCATCGATATTCACATTTTATTTTCAAAGATTTCTACGGGTAAAATCCCTGTGTTTTTCCAACAATTATTTATAGTGCTTGGTTTGACTTTTTCCCAAGCATCTGCAATAAATTATATTGCCTCTTTGATGTTCAGTTTCTTTACTGTTTGTTCCTCATTTAATTCGTAAACCCATTTAGACACCAAAAAATTCGATAGTGAGCTTTAAAATTAGCAATACAGTCAAGACTCGATATAGTCAAGTCTCGATATAGTAAATTTCGCGTTATAGTCAAGAATTCCTCTGAACAAAAAACCGAATTATTAAATTTTCCCTC